CTGTGGGGTCAGGTGTCTCCGTCCACAGCACAGCTGTGGGGTCAGGTCTCTCTGTCCACCCTGTGAGTTCTGGAAACAAACTCAGGTTTTCAGGCTTAGCCCACACGTTTATTCCCTGAGCCATCTTGCTGACCCTACATTTTTTATTGTCTTGGACACATATTCAAATTGCATTTCAAGGCTTTTCTGCTGATACCCACAGAAAGTTTTTATGCCATGATGCTGGTCTCTCTCTGCTATGGTCTTGTTGAACTTGGGGAACATAGGATACGTTTCAGACAGAGTTGTTTTGAAGAATAGAAACTGAATGCATTTAAGGTGAAATGGTAAGGCCCTGGTATTTCTGTCTCAGTAATGAAAGACATAATAGGGCTGAGTCATCTAAGAGTATGAGCGCCTGGTTCTGATCATCTGTAAAGCTGGCTGAAGCACAGCACAGGGAAGCTCACTATGCCAGGGCTTTATAGAAGAGTGGACCGAGGCTCTTCCATAGAATGTGTGTGTGTTATGTTACATACGTGCACACACAGGCACACAAAGGCACACACACACACACGAACACACACACACACACAGCAGAGGTGCTGAGGTTGTTACCAGTGTTCTCTCAGCTCATGCACTGCCATCTCCCTCCTTGCTGTACACTTGTGAGTGTACACAGCAAACACACAAGCTCAGGAGCTTTGCAGAAGGAAAGAATAGCAGCTGTCTAGCCCCAAGCTTCACTTAAGTCAAATCAAAGCCGTGGTGTTTGGTTTTTAGTTAATCCTGATGCAATGGTACATTTTCTGATACAAATTCCTCTAATTTCCCTCTAATATTCTGAGCAGAATGATCTCATAATTCTGAGCAGAGTGAATCTTGTAAAGGTTATCCTTACCACAGGATCTTATTGTGCACTTGAGACGTTCCTGAGGGAAACAGTGTGTTTCCCCCTCAAAGGCTGCTTAGAGGCACAGAATGTATCAAAGGACGAAGAACTTCATGGAGGACAGGCAAGGGCTGTGCATTGTCTCAATAAGAGCCACCTTCACCTGTCAGACAGCTTATGAGTCTCATTCGTGACACAGAAGACACACATCATCCTCCAGACCAGCATTACACTTTACCACATGTACCGTGGAGTCCTTCTCCAGCTTTCCTAAAATTAATGTCTTCATTGCTTCTCTCCCTCACTCACTTAGTCTTGCATATCTCAATAAAATTCTTCCTTCCCTGGTGTTTTCAGGGAGGGAATTGCCAAAGCATGCCCTGAGAGCCCCTCAACCAAAGCTGGCACAGTATTTAGCCACTCATAACTGGCATTATTCCAAAGCCCATAAGTCTTGTCCTTCAGGGTATTCTAATCTCTAATGTGGGTGTCTCCACATCACTTACCTTGTTGGGTTTCCCAAGTTTGTCTCCCCTCTGTTGCTTAGGAGTGTTGTTGAAGGGTTTCCCTCTGGGCTCATCTGGAAGCTTCTGGTGGAATGTGATGAGCCACAGGATTTGCTGGTCTCTGCTGGGTCCCTCTGCCCATCTGGTTTATAGCCACTTCTGCCTGGCTTAGTTTTCAGAATATTTCTCTTTCCTATAATACAGTCTGCTGATGTTATAAGCAATGTTAACTTGAACAATCATAAAACTGGTAAAATGTTTTTATATTTTCTTTTCTTTAATGAATTCTTTATTAAAATGCCATAGAACCACCCAAATCCAGTTCAGTATCAGTGATGACTCTTTGTTTGGATCTCTGAGGGTCCATCTTCTCAACCCTTCCAGATACGTTTTCTTCAGCCTCTGCTGCATTTGCACCTTTATCTGCTGGTGGCTTTGTTTAGGTTCTCAGGAAATACAAAACCAGATACAGCCAAAAATGTAAACAGAGGGGTCCCCCCTCCCATGTTAGGAGCTTTGCTGTATCACCTACTACCTTCTTAACAGGTGAACTGGTCTGGAGTACTCTGCCTGGATGTCCCTGTCCTCCCTCCTCTCCATCCCTTACACTTTCCCTTGTTCTCTTTTGAAGTCATGCTTCTTTCTCCTTAGCTGTAATTGTCATACACACACACACACACACACACACACACCTCTGTACCTACACCTCAATATATAAATACAGCCTGCTCACTTCATAATGTTTCTCGTATGGATATGGTTTCTTGGCTGGCAGCGGGATTGGATAATCCAATGGGCTACTTATCAGAGCATTTCTCCCCATCTCAGCTCCCAACAATCCTTAGTTGCCTGGTTATAGGTAAAAACCCTGAGATTTCCAGCTTCCATGTGAGCATGTCTGTCTAAAAAATACATTTTTGCACTTTTCTGTGTTCTTGTGAGCCTGGGTGTACATGAGTAGGACGTGCTGGAGCCTGCAGAGGTCAGAAGAGGGCATTAGATCCCTTGGAGTTACAGACAATTGTGAACCGCTATGTAGGTGCTTACAACTGAACCAAGGTCATCTGGAAGAGCATTCAATGCTCGTAACCTCTGAGCAACCTCTCTAGCCTAGCATGTCTATTGACGTTGTATTTGTAAGTTAAATCTAAGGATTGGTATTAATCAATATATTCCTTTGGACTTCTTGCTCATGGAGAAGTCTTAATACCCAAGGGCCTACATTAGTAGAGGATTGCCCATCTCTGGGATGCTTTTATACTCTAGGGTGTGATAAAGCATAAGTGATCAGTGCAGAGATAAGAAAGCATGGAGACAATTAGGCCAGGAGATCTGAGCGGGAATGCCATCCCACGCCCCACACAGGCAGATGTTCCTTGTTCCTTAGCAAGGTCTCTGGTGTTTAGAACCTGGACTATATTCAATGTGAACCTGTCCCAGGGTGCCCTTTCTGCTGCATTTTTCTTTTTGGCATCTGGACCCGACACTTAACCCCAATTCACAGAAGGGATTGGCTCTGTAGGACAGGTGAGATAAGCATTCTGGCATGGGGAGCCTTTGCATCACAGAGTCAGCCTTCTTGATGTGTCCGTTACCACAGGAGAAGACAGGAGGAGGAAGGAAGAAGAAGAGAAGGAGGAAGGGGAGGAAGAGGAGGAGGGAGGGAGGCTAGTTATCTTTGGAGAAATTGCTTTGGGTGTGAAGACAGAGCAGACAGTAGCTGCTGTTGCTGCTCTGGTAGTGTCTGTGTATGAGCCTGTTATGTCTGGGTCTGCTGTTTCCAGTGTCCTATGGGATGCCGGGAAGGAGAAGGGAGAAGGGAAGAAGTAAGGAAGGAAAGGGAGGAGGTTGGGTGAACAGATAGATGTCTATGCAGGAAAGTATGGAGTATAGTGGTCCTAGAGGAGTCAGGGGCTCTAAGAAGTGTAGATCTGAGGCAGCCACCTAGGTGTCATTAACTTTATCAGCATCACTATGGCTATGCCTGTTGTTTTCAGCCCCAACCATGACCCTAGTGGCCAAGGGTAAGAGGTCATAGGATCAATGACACAGATTCTGGGACTTTGGCAAATGACAAAAGCAAATTCGTTTATTTCAGGAACTGGGTAAACCTTTATACCCCCAATCCCAGCAGCTCATTGGCTCTCGAGTAGCCACACATGATGCTGTCTTTCTCTCAATGGCTTGTTCCATTTCCTGGTTCAGCATCATTGATCTCTAGCTGTGCTGGCAGATTCTAGGTCGGGTCAGGTAGGAAATATACGTGGCACATATGCCAGCATTGCAGCTGAGCCTGCTTGACTATGTTCTTCCTACACATACCACATGAGTACCACCACCTTGGTTGCCTACACAGTTGTCCTCAGTGTGTAGTGGTCAGGGAGCCATATGTGTGTGAGTCTATTTACCATTGAGGTATGAGTTCCCAGGAGGACTATAGAGTCATTCGTCTCCTAGGCTTGTCATGGGGTTGGCCCAACAGCTGTAATGGGCTCAGGCCTTCCAGTTGAAATGCAACTACCTCTGACCCTAAGTGCAGAATTTATCTGGGAGTTACTTCCCGGTCTAATCACAGGACTTGTCTGGACCCACTGTGCTGCTCTGTCTGGCATAAGCACGGCCCTGTTGTCCTAGTATGGCACAGAGGGGATCTAGGCACTCTACCAAGCCTAGATGCCAGGCATTATAAGGTAGAGAGGAATGTAGAAGAAAGGGGTGGGTTAGACCTGTAGTCTCTGTTAGGGATTCTGCCTGTCATCTCCAAGTGAATGTATATTTAGGATAGTACACAATATTTGATCACATGTTATTAAGGGGCATGGTAGAACCCTTTTGTGGGTTATTGGCCTCAGAGATAAAATAATTTAAAAACAAACCTAGATGGAAATTGAATTGGAGACAATTTTATTGGAGTTCAAGAAAAGGGGTGGTGGTGGTGGTGGTGGTGGTGGTGGTGGTGGTGGTGGTGGTGGTGAAGACAAGTTGTAAATCTTGTCAGCTTCCAGAAGAAGGGATGTGATGTTTATTGTCAACTTGGCAGAATCTAGAATCCCCTAGAGATGGGCCCCTGGACAGATCTGTGTGTGTGTGTGTGTGTGTATTATCTTGGTTATATTGATTAGGATGGGAAAACCCTTCCACTGTGGGTGGCACCATTCCCTAGGAGGAGATCATAGACTGTGTAGGGATGGAGAGAGTGAGCTGGGTCCAAGCATGCATGCATTCCTTGCTCTTTGCTTTGTTATTACAGGTATAAACATGACCAGGTGGGTGAAGCTCCTGCTTCTGTAATATCTCTACACTGAACTCTGAGCTAAGACAAATGGTTTCTACCCTGAATTGTGCCACATCAACAGGAAAGAACTAAAAGGAGATGATGGCTAAGAGGAAGAGAGAGAGAATCCTGCTTTTGAGTTAGCAATGTGTTTATGAGCATCTGTGTGGGGAGGAGGAGTGGGGAGGACTGTGGAGGAGGGAGTTGAAGGCTTAGAGTGTCAGGTGTCAAGACAAACAGGATTAGGATTTGGGTCAGTATTTCAACCAGGAGGAGAGAAAGTGGAGAAAGAAAAGGTACATATTCTGAAGTACACTGCAGGTTTAACATTAAGGACCTATAACCCACCACAGTGGTTTCATGTTTACAATAGCATATCTTATCAATGAATATCAAATATTCCTCTGATATTTTACATTTCGCTGTTATTATTAGTGTGGGGGCATGTACCACCTTATGGGGAGGTCAGAAGACAACTTCCGGGAGTCTGTCTCTCCTGCCCTAGGTTCTGGGGGCATCAGATTGATGTCACCAGTATTGTGTGTGCCAAACAATTTTCCTCGCTCAGCCATCTCTCCGGGGCTGGGACATCTTTGTTGCAGGACTTTCAGTATAGCTTATTTCTTGAGGTTACAGTTTTGAGGGGTCCTATCTGAGCATTTGATAAGCCCAATTGGATTACTTCTAAAGGAAAGGACAACAGTATATCTTTATAGGTCATATCCTCATGGTCAATTTAGAGTCCTATTGTAGTCCGGGGCCAGACATAGAGCTCACGTTTCATTCTTTTGCCCCAAAGTCTTGAAACAAAGTAGATCAAACTAATTCAAGAGTAGAAAAAAAGTCTATAAACTACCATACCAGGAAGAAATTACCCTCTCCTCCACGTCCCTTTTTGTGAGACATGGTCTCTCTAAATAGCCCTGGTTGTCCTGGAACTCAATATGCAGACCAGGCTGGCCTGGAACTCACAGAGAACCACCTCCCTCTGCTGGGATTAAAAGCATGCACCACTATGCCCGTCTTGAAATAGCCTTCTCTTACTGGGCACCAGCAAAGACGCTCTATACAGCCCTTTCATGCGTTGTAATCTTAAAGTGCAATTACGATGCTTCCTCCCTCTTCTGTGGCATTTCCAACTGATATTTTTTTCTTTCTTAAAATTAATGTGTTGCCAGGGAAACTAAAAGTGGGATTCAAAGCTGATTATGAGAGGAAGGACTGAGTTTCAATGGCCTCCAAGACTGCTGATGCCCAGCTAGCTACCTAACGTGTCCATGGCATGCGTTCAGTGAGATTCTCCTATTCTACCCTCCTCATTATTTCCATTCCTATTTTGATTAAAGCCCAGAGTCCTGTGTGCTTCGTCCCGCTCGTCAAGACTTAGTTTGGTGTGTTTCTAGCATCCTTCCAGTCTCTTCATGCCGCCCTCTGCTTACTTTTCATCTGGATTCTGCTTTGCTTCACAGGGCTGAGCTTTGTTTGTTGGAGAAATGTCTTCTGAGTCAGAAAAGGATAAAGAGAGACTGATTCAAGCTGCCAAACTATTCTTCTTCCACATACGAGATCTGGCTTCCTTCATAAATAGGTTCGTCGAGCTGTTCAACATCACGATGAAGACTCAGATCCTCCCCATGAATCTGAATGAAGAGAGCTGCATTCAAGATTTCTTTGAACAAATGATCAGACACTTTAAAGAGATGCAGCTGATGGTGGATGGGAAGCACAAACAAATGCAAAAGGAGCCTTTGTGTTCCAAGGTGGTGACTCCTGTGACCTCCGTGGTGGAGAAGTGTGCCAACATCGCTCCACACCACACTGCAGAAGACATGCTCAAAAACATCCAGACATCAGGTGCTGCCATGGTCCTGAAGACCAGTCACATTCTTGAGAATCTAGAAACTTCTCTCTCACTCCTGATGCAGTTCCCCATCATGGGTCTCCGGTTAAGTGACTTCTATAGAGAGGAGACCAAAGAGCAATCAGATGCCATCACATCTGGTAAAAGCATGAGTCCAGAATGTCCCAAAGCCACTACAGAGGAAATCTTGAAGAAGCTGCAAGATGTGCTAAGTACCAAGAATGCCCACAAGCCAATAGAAGCAGCCGCAGATGAACTGGAACAGTTTGTCAAGACTATGGAGAAGACTTTACAGGTTCTCCAGAAATCCATAAAGACCATGGAAGGGGACACCTCTGTACTTACACAGGCTCAGGGCAAGTAGAGGAAAATGCGTTCCTTTCTGAATGAAAATCAGCTTGAATCCTCTTCCGTTGGTGCTATATATTCGGTATGTTAGAACCCGAGGGCAGAGTCATCACTTGACAAAGCACTTACCTGTGGTTCTGCTTTGTTAAACAAAAAGGGAATAACCAAAGAAAGCATGCTCGATATAGCAGTGCTGTAAGGGTCGAGGCAGCATCACACTTGGGGATAGTTCTAAATAAGTTGTTACTCTTAAAGCATAAGTAGAGCTACCGATCGCTCCTCCTCACAAGTGTACCTCCAGTGGCAACAGAGTGAAGTCCAGGTAAGTGTTGGCATTATCATATGGTAATTTATTCATTTCCATATGATAATCTATACCTCATGGTAATCTAGAAGGCATGACTGTTCATGCTTACTTAGGAAGTGTACAAACCGTGTTTTGTCTATCATACTGACATAAGCAGATAGTGGAGTCTCACGGTCACCTTGTTGGGATGTTCCTGCATCATGGGACAAAAAACTGGACAGAGAAATCTATCCTGTAGCAGAAATACAGTTTGTTAAGAAAGGATGTGCTTTCAAGAGAGGAAGTAGGCCAGAGCTGGGAGGGAAGGTTAGATGCTCAATGGTGTCCTTCTGGAAGGGTCGTGACCCTTGATGGGTCAGTTGCATAGTTCCAGCTTTCTCACATGTTTTTGTCCCCAAGCTGTCCTATCTAAGGGAGTCAAAGTCTTCCCTTATGCTAAAAGTTTGCTTCATATAATAATTACACAGCCCTTGTATCTGACTTTTATTTTTTTCAAATCCCCTTTTAAATGATGGTCCTTAAACACTTTTACCTCCCTTGTAACCCACCACCCACCAGAGGTTGTGGAAAGAAACGAAGAAAAGTGGACCTGTTTAGAAAGGGTTTTTTGGAGCAAAGTCTTTGTTGTCTGGAAATCAGCTTAGTTCACAGGTTAGCAGGCAGCAGCAGATCGATCCACTCACAAACACTTCACAGATACACCAGCAGTCCAGTTAGGTAAAGTCAGGATAGCAAACAGGAATCAGTAGAGGTGGCACAAAATATCAGAGTCAGTCAGGCCTCAGCCTGGGCTTGAGTTGCCAGGAGGGTCCCGGAGGAACACCAGGAGTAGTTCTCAGCTGTGCCTCTCGGGAAGTGAAGATCAGCGAAGATGCAAGACCCATAAGCTTTGCACAGCCAGCTGTACCAGCAAGCCAAACTCTGCCTCCCTCACTATCGAGTGCTGTTTATACTTTCTTTATACCCTGCAAACAGCACGCATGTCGTCCATGTGCCTTGCCTCAGCACGTCTTGCCTCCCGTCAAGTCCAATCAACCCAAGTCCACAGAGTCCCAACAAATGCAGCCCAACTATGCAATATAAGGTGGACCAATACATGTGTGTTGTTAGCAAAGAATCCTTCATCATACGACTTTTCATGTGCTTGCTTTAGCAGAACATCCTCTCTCCTGTGTCTTCAGCCAAACCTTCCTCCACAAGTCTGTCATATTCTTACACTTGTGTCCACTTCAGGAAAACACTCCTCCATGTGTTTGCCCCAGCAGAACACCTTCCAACACCACTGACTTTCCAGAGACCCCTTAACGTTTCCACCTCATTTGTGTCAGGTTCTTCCTGGCCCTGTCTCAGCCCTCCTCTCCTGCCTCAGCACAGTCTCTGTAATGTCCAGCGTCTTGACTATCATAAACTACTAGATAGTCCTGACATGATGTACTCAGGACTAAGTCAAACAACGGGTGGATAGCATTATGCTTACCCACATAAAACCAGAGCGCACAGTCTGTTCCTGTCTGCTTTCCCTAAGGTCTTAAGGTAAGGGGACACTAGCAGTTATAAAGGATAGGTATTTTGTCAGGGTGCACAGAGGAGGCATAGCTGCACTCTCCAATGACAGCAGTTCAAAAAGCTCCTCTAATATTTTAGAGGACCTCCCCTCAGGCCAAACAAGGAATCGTGGCTTCAATGCAGGGAGCAGTTTTAGGAGTGGCCAGTATAACACAGAGTTGGGGCTTAGGAAAGATTGAAGGTTAAGACAAAGAGAAGTTTTCAGAAGGAAAGTAAGACGCACCCGGAGCATAGGTGTGGGCTTCTCCAGGAAGAGCCGCCGTTTGCTAAAAGAGTATTTTTCATATATACATTATAATGTATATATTGACATGCAGGGGTGTGAGCATGTGTGAGTATGGTCTCCTCAGATAGGAGTCACTGCAGTCCGGGCGTTGAAGAGATGAAATGGACACAAAGTTACACCCTAACCAAGGAACTGTTTGCAGTGTACAGCTGCTGGAAAGAGAAAAGCAGTTTTCTCCAAGGGAGTGATACTGAGTATATCAGCCACACTCCAGACAGGCCCCATGCCCAGGAATAGTTGGCCAACCCAAAGCACCTTCCATTTTTGTTTGTAAGTTTGTTTTTGTGGGCCTTTTGTTTTATTTTTATTTTTGTCTAATTGGTGCTTTGTTCTTTTGATTTGCCTGAATTGATAATTTTTAGAGGAGTTGGGAGGAAAGAGAGAAAAAAGAGTGGCGGGGAGGGAGGGAGGGAGGGAGGGAGGGAGGGAGGGAGGGAGGGAGGG